AGCCACTTTAAACAGCTAAATTCAACTGAGTGACACGTGAGGCGTCCCGAAGCTTTCAGACCAAGCTGCTGCTGCAGAGCAACAGCTGCCAGGTGCCGGTCAGACGGACCAGAGCGCCTGAACACATTCAGAGCGTAGCTACTGGTGAGGAGAGGGACTAGAACCCCAGCTGAAGGGTAGGCAGAGACGTGACTCCATTGGCTAGAGGGCGAACTGCTTCTGGTCATTCAAGAGTTTGGCGGCCATTGGTTAAAGTAAATCAGAGCTGACTGTGAGGCCTCGGTGCTCGTCGAATACCTGAATAATCGAGTCGTTTTGGAGGATCCCTGAGGGTGTGTTGGATGTAACTTCGGGTCTGTGAGAGAGGCAGCTCCTCCTGCAGACACCAAAGGGTACGTTCAGATGGGCAGCTCAGCAGACCCCGCAGGAGTCGCCGCCCGACGGCGCGCTAGTGGGCCTGAAAGCAGCTGTGAGGCTCAACAGCATCTGAGGATATTGGAACGACAATGGCGAACTGATCACGTGGTTTTGCACACAGCCACACACATTCACTCACTGTTTACAGAAGAAAATCAAAGCAATGGCTGCAAAAGAGCAACACGCCGAAAACCACTACGAAAGCTGCAGCAGAGACAAACCGACGAGGTCAGGAGCTCCGCCTTCTCGGGGAAACGGCTCTCTTTGTTTGGGGGACAGATTCTGTCCCGTCGACAACATCCAATAGAAAAGCAGCGACCAGCCTGCTGAACCCGGAGGACTGGTCCGGGGGTATGTACACTAGCATGCAAACGTATCCACGACGCGCCCATCCACCCCGCCAAAGCCCGGGGGGCGTCTCTAGACATAAACACACACAGCGCTCCCCGTCAGGACACGGCCCCTCCCACCTGTGGAAAAGACAGGTGAGGGGGGATGATGGGTGAAGCACTTCTATATACACCCTCCCATGACCCCTCCCCCTCCCAGCAGCCCTTCTTTACACCCCCCTCTCCCACCACATCACCCACCCCCCACCCCCGTTTCACAGAATCAGGCTTGAAAAGACTACGACTACACGAGATCCTAGTTCACTACACCTACCGGTCACAAGAAAAGAAGCGGTGAAAGCTGGAGAGGCCCGGCCCTTCCCGATGCTACATGGTGGGATTAGAACAGATTAGAACAGATTAGAACAAGCACGAACCGAGGAGCAAAGCAAACACCAAAAGAGACAGAGCGGGGCTCCTGTTACCCGACATTCTGCACTGGACTTCTGTACTGGTTCCCTGAATCATCGATGGAAAGAGGCTCATCCTCTTCCTTTTCAAGATAAAAGTATACGACATTAGATTCCTATATACACATATGCATTTGTGTGTGTGTCCATGAGGGGCTTGGGTAGCTATCATCTATGTGCACATATAGGGTCATATTCTTATTCTTAAATAGAGGTTTGCAGTGTTTTGTGTTTTTTTACATTCAGTTTCTAACAAAGATGAAGAAACGAAGAGGCGGGATGCAAAAGGTGTGAGATGTGCAGCTTCGTGTCCTCGTGTTGGCCTTCGTACCACCGGCAGACCCTCCCAGTCCCAACCCCAGCGTCAGCCGTGGACGGTCTGAAGACACAACAGATGTGAGGCTTTGAAACCAAAGTGGCATAAGAAGCGTGGGAGTCCAGCGGTGTGGTCCCGCCGCTCTCTGGCATGGCTTTTCTTTATTTTTTTGGCATGGTGAAAACAAAAGAGGAGGAGGAGGGGGATGAAAGTGCCCATAGGAGATGAGTGTTGATGGCCAGGATGTGACTATGGATGAGGGTTGTCAAGGTTACGTGGATTTCTTTTCTGAGGTATTCTGTGTTGTAAGTTATTTTTCTTTACATTTTTGCACACCTAAACAAACCAGCGCGATGGCCTCAGCGACAGAGAGAAGAACACACACACAGCGTCGCGTTCCCCTGCGTGGATGGGCCGCAAGCGCCCGTTTCCGCTTGGCTCCATCGACGTCTGGGAAGGCAACAGTCCAAGTCTTCTACGTTAGATCTCCAGAGGAACAACAAGGTGGACCACTGCGTGGGCTCCCCCGGTAAGAATTATTCAGATTTACAATCCTCGCTGTTTATAAAGCACTGAAAAAGTATTTGGCTGAAGACAACGTACAGTCAGTCAGAGGAACAATGAAAACACAAAACCGGTGAACAGCTGCCGCTTCAGCTTCTGTACTGTTGGACAATACTCGTTTCACCCGCCGGACCCCCGGTGAACTCGCCCACCCACCCCACCTGTGAGCCGGCCTCACCCACTATAAACACACCAGTGGTGGCTTGTCTGCATGTAGTGTAGACTTCACGTCTCAGAGGTGAGAGAGGAGGACCATGACCACCAACACACACCAACTCACTCATCATCGTCACAGAGTTAGACTAACCCCCCAAAGCCAAAAACACCTAGGCTGGGGGTGATGTGTCTGGTGAGCCCCGCCCCCTGACTGCTGGAGAGCTCTGAGCCGTGTCTGCAGGGGTTTCGTGGCTGGGACCGTGCAGCAGAACCTCTGTGAGAGCAGGACAGAACACCGACGAACGCCATGGAGAGGTCTGATGGGAGGCGAAGCCCTCCAGCAGCAGATGACATCGTACTCAAGGAGGGAGGGGGCTGGGACTTTTCACCGTAGAGACTACAGAACACCACGCTGCACGGCCGCCGCTGCAGCATCAGCTGTTGGTTCACCACGGTGTGAAAGCATTCAGAGTCCTGAGGAGTTGGAAACGGGTCGACCCCCGTCTGGCGGGCCCCTCAGAGCTTCACCAGGAGGTGAAAACGAGGAGCAGCAGTCTGGATGCAGGAAGTGGTCCGACGCTGACTCCACAGCCAGACAGCAGCTGCTCCACACAGAGCCAGACACACCTACACATGGGAACAATGCTGGAGAATCGCCATGGCAACACACAAGGGCACCATGGATTTCAGTCACTTCATACTTGTTCTTTAAATTCCTATTTTCAGTCCAGCAGGTTTGACATGTTTGCCCCCATAATGTACCCGCTCTCTGCAAGTGGAGCTTTAGCCACCAGGTTCTGCCAGAGGAGTCGGAGCGCTCTCCCCGGAACGACATTTTTCCAGTTTCCTTAAAAGCCTGATGATTGACTGGGGCGTGGGGGTGGGGACAAAGACCTTTATTCTTCTCTGCTTCACTTATCCACCCGCCCCCTCAGACCACAGCCTGGATCTGCCGGCATGTCTGGCTGCCATCTGTGAGAGCGCCACGTGCAGGCGGGGTCGGGGGCGAGGCGTACGCCGGCTCGCTGGGGGTGCGTTTCATGGAGCTGCAGATTCCCAGCAGGAATTTAACATGATTGCAAGGATGCTTTCATTAGGTCAGATTACAGCAAATTATCAGAAGGACTGGAATTAAGATTGGGGTTGGATTAACGCGCATGCATCCAGTAGAGGGGGGGCAGACCAGCGCTCATGTGGGGGCGTGTTCTGCTGTCTGAGGCTTCAGAGCAACGTCCTCACGAATGCGTTCACATTTATAAAACTGCTACAGACGCACATCTGGACAGCCGTCCCTGATCTGAGGCTGGGACGCATCACGGCCACACAGCTTTCTCTGCCTCAGTCAGCAGGTCACATGGTACGAGTCTGATGACATCAGGCCGTGCTGCTTCGCAGTAGGACAGCTTTAGTCCAGTTGGGATTAATCACGGACTTCCTGCTTTGTCGCAAAAGTTGTTCAGGTTTTCCCTCCTCTCCTCTGAGAACCGACCCTGACCCGATCCCTGTGTGTCATGGACGCGCCTCAGTGAGCAGCCTCAGTTCAGAGAAACAGGATACATACTTTAGGAATGATAAGCTAACAGCTAGTCAAAGATCAGATCAGAGTGTGTGTGTGTGTGTGTGTGTGGGTGTGTGTGTGTGGTAATGAATCGATTCAGGCAGGAAACTCCCGTCCTGCAGAAATAGAAGTTTGAATCCGTCATAAAGGATTTAAATAACAACTTCATCAGGTCAGCTCCATTTCTCTAAACAGAGGCTGTTCGGTGAGGCATCTAAAACATCATGTTTAGGTTTACACAGACACACACTTTAAAGTGACCGAGGTGTCGCTGTGGGGTGGGACGGAGCCGCTCACAGAGGCTTTCCTGCAGAGTCCCGGCGGCGCGGCGGATCAGGGCTGGTGTTCCAAACACACGCACCTGCTTCTAAAAGAGACTCCAGCTCCATAACTACACACACACACACACACACACACACACACACACACACACACACACACACACACGCACGCACGCACGCACACACGCACACACACGCACGCACGCACGCACGCACGCACGCACACACACACACACACACACACACGCACGCACACACGCGCACGCACGCACGCACGCACGCACGCACACACACACACACACACACACACACACACACGCACGCACGCACGCACGCACACACACACACACACACACACACACACACACGCACACACGCGCACACACACACACACACACACACACACACACGCTGTGCCCACCTGATGAGGAGGGAGTGTGTGTTGCTCTGGGAGCGTCACATCCACTGCTGTGCGCGTGGGTGTGTGTGTGTGTGTGTGTGTGTGTGTGTGTGTGTGTGTGTGTGTTTTCCCACCACTGTATGTGCTAAAGAGGACACGGCATTATACTCATGGAAAACCTGGCTGCCACCAGAACGTGTGTGTTGGGTCCGCAGGTGGAGAGGAATGCAACGACGTGGAAATCAAACGTTTCCCTGAACCTGCTTGTTGCGTTTGAACGTCGGGAAACGTGGCGTAGGAAAAATCCGGATTCGTCCGGTGTGTTCCTGACATACAATCAGCTGCTTTTAGGAGACCGGACCTGAGGTATACGTGATCCATCTGCTCCTCTTTCCTTCTGGACCAGCTTGGCCCAGCCAGGCGACACAGTTACACTTTCACTCTAAGGAAACTTAATCGAATGCAGAGCAATCATCTGGAGACAGAACAGTCAAATAAATACAAACATATTCAGAGGTGCTTCATCAGATTTAGGTAGGTTTGTACGTTAGCTGATTTTTCTGTAGATTTCAGCAGAAAAGTTATTTTTCCTTTAACATAAACATGATTCAAGACAGTTAAGTCATCCACCTGTCCCCCAACACCCCCCTGGGTCTCCGAGACAATCGGTCCGAGCACAGAAACACACCCTTCATGTCGGGTTTCAGCCTGGAGTTTTGTTTCATCTAACGAGGAAACAACTGAAGAGAAACTCAAGCCTGTGGTGTTTCTCAGAGCAGGGTGGGACCTGTGCCTCTCACTGCCTTTGGGGAGAAACCGACCGTCCCAAAATGTTTGTTTTCCAGCTCTGACCTACGAGCTGAACAGCTGAGTGATCCCTGTGGCGATTACACTTCCAAGAGGTTTTGTTGTGAGAGAATACCTGAAACGTGTCAGGGTGGCACCTTTGAGTCCCTCCTGCCCCCGTGAGCAAGGCCAAACAACAGCTAAGTAACAGCGTGTTTCCCAGAGTATTAGCTTTCACTTTGCCAGGCACCCAGGTAAAAGATCCGGTGAGGTACGAGGCACGGAGAGGACTAGAGTGGTGTGGATGAGGAACGGCATTCAGGCTCAGTCGCCACGGTAACAGATGGATGTAAAGTTAAAGCTCAACTCTCCTCCTGAGCTCAGTCTGTAGAAAACATACATTACGTGGTGGTGTGTGTGTTGGGGGAGGGGCACGATGGAGACGGATGATTCCCGCTGGGATACGACTCCAGCAGCTTTCCGGACTACATCTGATGTTTTTCTGCTCTGGTTTTTAAAACCAGCAGAGAGGAAAGAGTTTCTTTCATAAACGGGGAAATCATTTCTAGACAGCTAACAAAACCCATCTGCTGTAAAGTTATCCAGACACAACGTCTGGTCAGATCGGGACCTCCTCACACGATCAGGCTTCTTCATGACTAATGATGAAACCCCAGGATGGAAATGATGTTCACACAGAGATGTGCTTCAGCTCTGTAGACGTCTGTCCATGACCTCCTGCAGCATCAGGACCCAGGTCAGTGCCAGTCAGTTCTACAGAGATGGGCTCAGGGGAACACCAGGGGGCACCTGGAAACACCAGGGGGCCCCTGGGAACCCAGACTAAGGAGAACAGGTCTTTTGGTCCTACACTAACCTCTCTTTGGTGGAGCCTGATCTGAGCCGGGAGAGGAGCTGGAAGGAGACAGGCTGGGTTTCCTCCACCCATCTGCTGGTGTGTGCCACTGAGCCTGAAGCAGCTGCTGGCAGACTGGTGCCGACCCGCGAGTCCTGAGACATTTACAGCACTAGCCTGCCTTTAGACGGCAGCCAGCTCAAAGCAGCAACAAGTGAAACTCAGAGCATAACAACAACAGTCTGTTGAAAAGGAAGTCCTCTTCAGGAGCAGGTGTGAGATGTTAGCCAGCAGACCCGGTGGGACGAGGGTTTTGTGGACAGGTGGAGCCGTTAACCGCACAACAACAAACATTTCAACGAAACAGAATAAAAGCACAGCGATGTTTCTACCTTAAATGGCATGCACCTCGGACGGGATCGGGCTGGACACAGTCTTCTCGTGAAGCCAGATCAGTGCTCTCCAGGAGGAGAGGAACGTTCTCTTCATGATTTAGGTCCAATTATTCACACCCACCGCTGGGTCTGGAGGAATCGCCCCTCTCAGGGGAATTCAGTCTAAGTGCTGTTTGAATTTGTTCATGCAAACCTGCGCATTTAATGCCGACTGCACTGTTTGTGTGCACGTAGTTCAATCTTTACACGAAAGAAGCTTTAAATAAAACGTACAGGACCTTTCTCCCTTCGTTCTTCTAAGCAGGGAGGAGCCCGGTGGCCACTGTGTGCAGCACGAGTGCTTGAGTGTGAACTCCAGGGTTTGATCCTGTTTTCACCATCAGATAAGTGCATTGTCCTACGCTGGGTCCAACTCCACGTGCACGCCAACCTTTTAGACACTCGAAATGCTTTGCAGTGACAAGTGTTGGTCGCATTTCATGCACGCTCACCCCACAGGTTACGATTCTACGCTTTCGTAGAACGTTCTAGCAACAATGCTAAACGTGGATCACCAGAACCCACAAAGATTGTTTGCAACAGGCAGGAAGTGATTCTGCTCGGATTGTGACCTCATCTAAACTGCTGTGGGTGTAAGAGCAAGACGCACTCTTGAAATGTGTTCGTGCTACCCCAAAAGCAGCCAGAAACAGGGTGCATGCCATTTTTGAGAGAAGAATAAACACAATCAAATAAATAAAGTGTGATAGACGCTGTGAACCAGAGAATGGTGGTTCTGAACTGAGCAGAAAGCTCACAGACTGGGTGAGCGCCGGGCAGTGTCGGGAGCAGAGCGGAGGGAGAACAACGAGATGACGCAAACGTAAAACCTGCCTCTCTTACTTCCTGTTTTAGTGTGGAGGTTCATGGGAGGGGCATAAAGGAGTGTGGTTTGGCTCCAAGCTGCAGCTCTCCGAAAGCCTTCAGACTAAAGCTTTGAGCTCCTCTGCCCTCCGCGCCGCCCTCTGCTCCGTCGGCCTCGGAGAAGAGCTGCACGACATGCATAACCTCAAACGTCTGTCTCGGCTTTACTCTTGCTTTTGGAAAGTGCTACTTCGTTCAGCGCTATAAGTTCAATTCACAAACCGGACATTAGTGTTGTGTTTCAGTAGCGGGCTTGTCCGCCACGGCAGAAAAGCATCAGTGAGAGGCGTGTCCTCTCCTCTCGGTTCACTATAGGTCCAACAGGAAATCACCATATTAGAAACCCACGTCGACGTCTCAGTTACCCTGAGTTGAAATGAGGAGAATGACGGATTGGCTTTTACATAGTCATAATAACTTAGAATATATTAAAATCTGCCTCTCCCCCACCTATGAACTAACCCTCCCCACTGCATATTACCCGCCCACCTCCCTGGAATCGACACCCCTCCATAAATGCACAATGTTTTCATACATAACTGCCTTGGACCACCTTTGAGGGTTTTTTAACTCATCAACCAAGCTGCTTCTGCTCGGTACGATCAGCAGATCAAACATCAGCAACATGTCCTTAGCTGAGTCGAGCTGAAATCCATCAACCGGGGCTAAAGCCATCGTAGGAGCTTGATAATGAACTGGATAGCAGCACAGTTTCACATTCTGATCCCAAAGGGCTGTCATCCGATAAAAATTTCCATGAGGGGCGGAGCACCCTTTGGTCCCCATGCGGAGGGCAACCTGAAGGTGACTCCACCTTTCCAAGATCAGCAGTGTCAGACTGATGGAGGTTCATGAGGTAGCATCCCGCCTGAAAACGGCCGATCCATAATCAGAGTACCCTTCGAGTTGTCCCTTGGCAAAAAAAGAGGGTGAATTCAGAGCGTCCCACATCTGAAAATGAATCAGCATTCAAGCGCGACGTGCACCTCTGACTCGTTGCAAGGTTGCGACTGGGCTTTTGAGACAGACCATAATAAGTGCATGATGCATGGGCAACAATGCCGAGGTAACCTGGTCTGTAAGCGCCAGACCCAAAGTGTAGTGCAAAAGAAAGCAAAACAAAAGAAAAGGTAGAGGAAAAGAAGTCAGTAGTGTCCACAAAACTCACAAACATGCATCCCTGAATGACTTTTGTGTGTCTTCTCTCTCTCAGACCAGGACGGGTACGCTCGCCTTCGTCCGCACAGAGACAAGCAGAGTTCTTAAGAAGTAAAGAAAAGGTTTGCAGTTAAAGCATCATGGCTACCTGGCGATAGGAGAACGGGTCTGTTTCAGAACCCTTGTGAGGATATCAGCGGTGTGATTAAACCTTCAGATGTCAGAGACCGTTCAGCCAGTCGGGCGAGTAGGGAAAGGAATTATCGGTCCGGTGTTACAGACTTTCTACCCTCCTCAACTTTCCCTCCTAAAAACGGACGTAAACAAAGCCCAAACTGCATCTCTGAGCAGCAACATTGTAGTGGATCGAGTCGATAGAGGTAGGGGGTAGGGGATTATCAGCATGCTTCAGAAGTGATTCACTGTCTTTTCACAAACGTCTTCAGCTGCGTCTGTTGAGCTGTTGGATATAAAAGCAGAAC